CAAATTGATTATGTACGTATTTAAAATTATTATAAATTATTACACATGACACATAAAAATTGGAGAGAAAAACGATATGCGATTCATATTAGGCATATGTGTTTACTGCGGATTTATTTGATTTTATATTATTATTAATTTTTTGTAGTTGGTAAAATATATTTTCAAGACAAAATGCATATGTGTCTATAATGTGTAGTTTTATAGATTTTTACTAAATTATAGATATAAATTTTTACTAAAAGACTAGCAAGTATGATATTTTTATTGCTACCAAATATTATTACCATTATATATTTTATATAACTAATTAACTTTTATATAAAAGTTTTATAGGTTTTTCAAACCAAATGAATGCCCGGCATTCTTTGTTGAACTTGCAACCAAACTAAATGATAAATTTACAAAATTATCCAAAAAATATGCAAAATCTATACAAGTACTTAAGGAAAAATATAATGAAGTCAACACATCTATCCCGTTTCAAATTTGGATTTCATATGAAACTATGGAAAGATTGGTAAACTTACTAATTAAAATGATTCAATTCAAAGAATACAGAATGATTAATGTACTGTTTTTAGAAAGACCATGGCGAACAACTTGCATGGTATACTCCTAAAATTCAAAGAGATCTTCTATCTTTCTCTGAAAAATTTCTTTACTATTCCTTAACATACACTAATAAATTAAGGAGATTATCTGGAGGTATCTATACATCGAAACCGTACTTCAATGCCTAATTATTGGATTTTAATCGTTGTTATACACCATTAGAGGTGGGTCGTTGACGATTTTGCCGTCAACGAAACGAAACGGTTATCGGGGTTTCGTCAACTAGTTAAATAACTAGTTATTTTTCAACTATAGTTATTTTTAACGATTCAACGCTGGCAACGTTAAGAAACTGATAGTTGAAATAACTGTTTCATTGAAAGTTGGTAATATGAAGTTTGTTCTTATAAAAGTTGAGTTGACGTTGGATTTGATGAATAAAAAGAAATAAATGTGAATGGTCACATTTATTACACACACACACACACACACACACACACACACACATATATATATATATATATATATATATAAATAATAAATAAAGGTTTAATTTAAAAAACTTAAATATTTTCATTACAGTAAAGCCATATACTAAAACATCGAATTTACATGTTATATAAAAATAGCAATATAAAAATGTATAGTTATATAAAATGTTATGAATAATAAAAAATCAATTTTCAGGTTTAGTTTAAAAAAATTATTACAAGACAAATGCTATGAGATTTTTATGAAAAATATTAACCATTGAAAACTATAATAAATGTAATTGATTTTCTAAAATTAAACGATTTGGCGCGTGTTGCAAGTTTCTTTTAAGATGTACATGTACATTTGCAATATTATAAAAGCAGTAGCCTAACAATAAGCGATTTTCATAGTATTAGTCGATCCTTTCCGACGCAGGTACCCAGTGGCGGCGCTAGACCATTCGTGGGCGTCGGCGAAATTCGTTTGCGAGGCCCCCCTTTTTTGCCAGTTGCAAGTTGACTAGTGGTACATGGCATCGTGCCTAAAGGCAAATTGCTGAAACTTTTCGTGCCGTAATTTAAATTTTTGAAAAGCTTTTAAAAAATTTGAAAAGTGAAAAAATTGACTTTTTTAAATTTGAAATATTTTGTTGAAAATTTCGAACTTTTTTTCAAAGCAATCACGTTGCTCTAGCTGCTTAGAGACGAAATATCGAAGCGCGTAAACGGCGCGTTGCAGTCTAACTTAACTCACTATTAATTAAAATCTTTATAAAATATCTGATAATTTGATGTGCATATGCCAAATGGCTTTTGTTGTGCTTTTTTACTGGATTTCCAAAACCGCTAGACCTGCCTTCCTAAAAATGTAATCAGTTTGGCATTTTTTGTCCCGTATATTCGAAACGGCTTATCCTGCCTTTGCCAAAAACTAATCAGCACGTCTTCTTACCTTCAATACATGACAAATGTTTTCTGAATTTTTCAAATTGGTTGATCCATGTTCGCGAAATCGTCGACAAAAAATTGCCAAAATGTTCAGAAATCTTTGAAGATATATAAAAATTTTTGTTTTAGATTTTTTTGCAATTACTATAACTGTATATAAGATTTATTTTTAATCAGATAAATACACCAATTGAAATAGACAAAAATTACACAAGTTAAAATAAACAAACTCTTCGGCAAAAATGGTTTGTTCTCCAGCTATTAAAAAAGCATTAAAATTAAATAATTATCGCTAAAAAGTTTCCCTTTGCCCAACCATTTGATTAGTAAATTTTATGTTTTTTCGATCATTATGAATAAAAAATGGTTGGAAATCACCGACTTAATAACTAATTAGACAAAATTTTGCAATCTGCAAGTGATTAATTAGATTTAAAAAATCTATGTTCATACTAATTTGAGTGCACAAATCCGCACATCACATAGTAGGTATAAAACATGGTCTAAAAGCTCGTCCCATTATTCTAAAATTTAATGAGTTTTTATAATTAACCATTTATCGTAGTTCCATAAAATATATGTTAGATGATACTAACAAGTTTTGAAAAAAGATTTTTACAATAAATTACGAAGAAACTGTGTGGTCGATCTTGACGAAAAACAATTCAGGACGATCGCCAACTGAAAACTTTCGATCAGTTTTTGAATTTTTAAAATTGGTTCAAAAATGTCAAAATGTCGTTTTTTAAGATGCTTTAATTTTTTGTCGACGACATCAGAGCCGATCAACCGATTTAAAGGATTTAAAAAACATTCGATTTGTGTTGATAAATTGTCAAAGGCAGGTTTAGCGGTTTTGGAGATACAAAAAATGTTTAAAAAATTATCAATTTTATTTGAAAGAACTGATCATCCCAATAGAATGCTTAAAAAAATATATTGCTTGTGTTGACGGTGTGAAACAATGATTAGTTTCAAATTAACAATTTTTGCTATTATCTCATTGTTATTTCTCACTGATAAATTTTTATTGAACATTGATTACTTTTATTCCTCGAATATTTAATTACTGTTTCGATGATTTACATAGTGCTCACATAAGAAATACACAAATATAAACAACCAGAGCTTGCGCAAAGTTGTTTAGATTTAATAATCTATAGTGTTGACAGACGATTTTAGATAATGCCCATAAAAGATAAAAGAGTAAAATGATAGTGCCTGTAAACCACTAATCACCTTTTTTACTCGCACATCCGTATGAAAATTAACTAAAATTTAAATAATTAAAATTTTTCCGGGGCCTCTTGCGAGGCCCCCCCAGGCGCGAGGCCGTCGGCGGCCGCCGACACCGCCGACGCCTCGCGCCGCTACTGCAGGTACCTGCCTACGTTCGTTTTCGACAACGAACGAATTCCTATATCGTTGAAAAAACTAACTGGCCGCCATGTTTTCAACTGCTTCGAAACCAGTTGATTTTCAACTAGTTATTTCGTTGCGACGAAACGGTTAGTTAGTTAACGAAGAAGAAACGGTTGAAAATAACCGTTCGTTGATTCAACGCCCATCACTATACACCATAAAGGTCCAATGCTGAGCAGTATTCTAAATGACATGAGGCATATCATTCATGGTTATCCTCAACCATTATCACCTGGTCGTTACAAAACTAAAATGTCAATTTTCACAACATCTCAAACTGTAGTGGGTGCTCAAATTGCTGCATTTGCTCCTAGAGGAACTAAAATAGGAAGACATACAATTTCATCTGAATCGTTTTATCCTGAAATTGGGTCTGCGCATATTATTGAACTGCATAAAGTTTGGAAAAATAAATGGGCTGTAAAAGTAAGAAAAATATGTTCATACAATTTGTGTGATTTAATAATTAAAAATAAAATATTAAAATAATTTTTAGATGATATACAAAAATGATGGAAAAAGTTATATTATGAGGCTTCCTGGATGTGATGTAATGTGCCCGTTTCGAATATTCCAAAAAATATTAAGTCGTTTTAATTTATCAGAAAACAGCAGAAAGAAGAGTGCAAAATTAGAACAAATTAAGACCCTATATCATTTTTTTTCTACATTTTATCGATAAAAGATTTACTTTCTTAAGAAATCAATATAAGTAGTTACTTCTAACTATTACTTATTGAGAAGCTCCAAGTTTTCGAGTGGTCATTGTCAATCAAAAAGCAACTTATATCTGTACACAATATTTTAATAAATAATTTAAATTTGATTTTGGATAAATTATATCATTGCTTTTATTAGAATAAAGTCTCTAAGCAAGTGATAAGTGTCACAACGAATAATTGTTCCCTATTTTATTAGAAAAATTTATCCGATTTAATAAAAGGCCCGCTTATACGAACTACAAAGTCTATTTGAATTTAATAAATTTTAAATAATTTAAATTTCATTCGTTATCCTAAACCAAATAGAATATTTTAATTTGCGTTTGTTGAGGTTATGTTCTATTTAAATATGCGCTTGAATTAAAAATTATTGATATTTTTGTAGTTAGATTTAAACTAGTCAATATAAAGAACTAAATAATCTGCATAGTTGCACAAAAATTACTTCTAGCATATAGTCAAAATATTCTACAATGATTCAAAGCAGTTGGCAGTGTTTTAAGAATATTTTAATTTGAGAAGATGCAATAATAAAACTTGAAAATAATTCTACATTATTTCGTTTCAATCAAAAATACATGAATTATTACCCATATTTACTATCAACAATAGCGCCAGCATATCATATTATAGTGGAAAAATTATTCTTTCTATACTTTGATGATAATTATATTGCAAAATAAATAATTTTCACTACAAACAGAGAAGTATACGATAGTTTTACCTAAAATTTCACGCACATTTTCATTAATTATAATAAAATGATGGTGTTCAGTTTTATAACTCAATTTTGTTTGCTATTGGTTTTGGTAATATAACGAAATTTAATAAAAAAAATATTTATTTAAAAAACTATGTGTATTTAATTATTTAACATTATAAAACTTATTAATTTACTGAAACAACTATTAATTATCATATTATTTCTTAACTTTCTTAGCATTCCACTGCCGGAATAGTTCGGACGTCTCCTGAAACTGCAACGACTTCAATTTCGACCTTAGCATTCATTGGTAGTGCTCCAACCTAAATAGATAAAATCATTAGTAACTTTTAAAAATTATGCATTTAAAACTATCTATTCTTGGACATTTAGCAAACTTGAAAATTTGCAATTTCTGTTGACCAAATAGCATGTTAAAAAACGGCTCAATCCTTGATTTCCCATTTTCCAAATGGTAATATAGTACAATGAATTTGATAACTTCTTAAACAATACAATTAATATATATTTATTGGTAAAATAATTTAATTTCGTTAAAATATTATAAAGTGGACTTAATTAAAAATCACCTGACGTGGACAATTAATACATATTTCAATGGTACATCTTATGGTTCCATAAAAAAGCCATCTACCTCGTAAAAATAATTTAAGTCTGCTGTAAATTATCTTACTTGGAAGGAGGATCTGGCAGGGTGGTCATGTGTAAACACTTGTCCATAAACTTCATTTACAGCTGCAAAGTCAGCTAAATCGGCAAGTAAGACGGTGGTTTTCACAACACGGTCATATGATGAGTCACCAGCGGCCAAGATATGTCCAAGGTTGGTCAAAGCTTGTCTTGCTTCGGCGGCAGCTCCTCCTGCGACCAATTTCATTGTGCAGGCGTCCAATCCTAGACATCCCGATACGTAGAGAGTGCGATCGACCAAAATTGCCTATAATAAAGGAAATAGTTATTGACGCATTTAACATTATATATATATATATATATATATATATATATATATATATCATCAGAAAACCTGATTCGTTTTTTCATTGTATGCTGGAAAAGCAATCGGAACCTAAAGCTTCTAGGAGCTTTTGTAATATTTTTCACGTAAGCGGTTGGACCATCTCTATTTCAGGAATTTATTATTACTTATTATTATTTATTATTATTTTGGTAATACTATTGCGTTATTTATTGATGCATTTTTTCACTGGAAAACATATATTTGTAATATCTGCATTTCCAATCTCTATATATTTGGACAAGTTGTCCGAAACGGGGTATAGTACCTAAAATATTTGATTCAAGGAAATGGGCTGTTCTAAAACCTGCTTTACAAAATTGTTTTCGACTTCGGATTTCCAGATAAATTTCCATCTTTATCGATAATATAGGTAATTTTTGATTAATGCATTTACTTATTGCTTATCCAATTCTGTTTGTAAAAATTTGAAAACACAGTTAATATTATTTATATTATTAAATTATTAACTATAGTTAATATTATTTATATTAATAAATTTATAACTATAGCATGTTATGCACTTGTAGGATATCCTATAAAATTTGTGGGTTATGAGATTTTTTTTATCAAAGTTTATCATTCATGAGTCAAAATTGTCTTGGTTCTCCATATATTTATCAAAAATTTTGCTCTGAAATGAGAGGCGCTATACTAATATTATTGATAATAATCTTTAAAGTATAGCATAATTTTAAAAACAATAAAAACCTATATCTTTTGTGAATTTTTAAATCTTAAACAAGCAGAAAATTGATTCAAATTTTAATTTTGAAATTAAAAATTAGATTTTGATGACAGGTATAACGTTACCTGTATAAATCATTTGTTTCAATATAAAGTTTGGTGTTATTAGTTCTATTAGTTTTAGAAGAACTATGAATCAAATGTATCATATTTTTAATGAAATGATTCAGCAAATCAATAACAACAATATATCATTAGGTGTAATAATATAAAATTTATCTTTTTTTTTTCAAAAAAATTTTATCACTATTTAAATTATATATTACGTTACGTTACTCATTGTTGGTTCTATAGAATTTTATTGGAGATATATTTTATTAGAGATTCTTTATTCATAACTTTATGTTGAAAAAGTTTTTTGATCTTGATATGATTCTTTTACATATGTACTATAATTATAATCAAATCTTTTTTATATAATTTATTTACAAGATCATATTTTATTTTGTTCCCATATTTTTGTGTTTATTCATTTTAATTATATTTAGAGATAAATTTTATATTTTAATTGTTAATGAAATTAATATTAAGATTATTACTTAACAAAACGCGATATTTGATAACTTTTTATTATCTAAGAAACTGGGAAATTTTATAATTTTTATCTAAGTAAATCAAATCAATATCGAACAAATGTTATTATTAGCATACGATGTTTACAAGTTATTATCTATAAATCTCCAAGTTCTTGATGATTTTCTTTCAAATGATAATTAGTTGTTTGAAGAATATATTCTAAAAGTTTTAAACTGTAATAAAAAACAAAAACTTTTAATCTAAATATAAAAAAAATCAAAACTCTACTTGTTTCTGAATTTGCGCATGCTTTTTGTAGGTTATAAAACAAGGTTCATAAATATCTTTATTATTTTCTTATAAAAAATTCTTATTGTAGATCATTCTTTTACTGAAAAAACTCTACGATAGCAATCTGCCTATATTCGCAACAGCAAAGTCTATCTAATATTTATAAAAATAAAATTATTTCTTACATACCTGGTTATATGGTGCCACTGGTTTGGCTGCAGCTTTGGTGCTGATGATTTTGCGAACTATGGTTGCCATTTTTTGTTAAATTATCAAATTATTTAAATAACTAAATATGTTGTACGTTCCACGGTGTACTTGGTACTACTTTCAAATCGAATTCGACCACATGTAGAGAACGCTATCGCACGAATCAATGTGTTTACTTGACCTTTGACTCCGCACAAATGATATAATATATATTTTGAAATGATCGCGTACGCCAGGAATATTTGTAATCAGAAATATAAATATGACAAAGGAGATAAAAATATTATTTGATTAATAATATTGAGATTAATCAGTACAAAAAGTTCCTTTCTACATATAGAGACTTCTTCTCTTGTTTCCTTAAAGTCTGTAACTTACGTAAGAGAAACGTTTTCTACTTTTAAGGCAAAAACACTTAAAAAAATTAATGACACAATGAAACTAGAAAACAAATGATTATTTCTGATGATTTGATTTTTCAGATATGAGATCAAACTATAGCCATATTTATACTTATTTATCTATGACTAGCCAATTGAAATGATCTTATCAATAAATTTCAGAAAGCTGAAATATATTCACATATTGCCTAGGGCTGAAATTATTCTTAGTTTATAAAATACTCAAAATATTTAAATTATAAATTGATGGAAGGTAGATCATTGTTTTAATATATTGATCAATATTCACAGCCTATACTAGTATATGTTTAGACTTATTAATCAATCTTGGTGTCAATGAGTTTTCAATGAATTATCAATCTTCTCCAGTAAAATAGACCGTAACATAGTGTTATGGCAACGCTATGTTACGCTGCTTTCTTGGCACTAAAAACTGTCTACAACTTTCAACACTTTTAATGTAATGCAAAAGTGGGTTGACATTTTTCATTCAAAACATAATTTTATTTTTGTATAAAATTGGTACTTATTTCTTTCGTACACTTAGTAATATATAAATAACATATATTGACGTAAATATCATGACATATGGATAGAATAACAAAGAATACGTGTGAGTATATTATATATTGTCAGAGATAAATGACATATAGAGATGAATATTGTAGAGAGTGTAATTAGTGACAATAAACGAGTAATTAGAGATGTGTGTTAATAGAGACGAAGGAAGTTACCATATATTACTAGTTTACGAAGTTTTTAAAACGTAGAAGTTAACAAAAAATACAAAAAATTAGTAATGTAAGAGTTTCATTTTTGAACAGTTAATTGTAATCATGATTTTCAGTAAAAAATTTATGTAAATTCGGATATTTTTCGCAAATTTTATTTTCCATGAATCAGAACGTACAAATGTTTCGTGGGTTCGTATACTCTAACTTGTACTAATTATAAATATTATGTAAAAAAAATACGTGGAATTTTTCGTATACCTATACTTTCAGATTTTAATATTAGCGCACGGAAATGACAATGTATTTTACGATGGAAAAAAATCTTTATTCGGGTTGATGTTTTTGATTTGAGGATCTTAATTTCTTAATAACATCAAAATATACTTACGACATAATTATTATACTGCTCGGCAAGAAATATAAAACATTGGACTTAATGTTTATTTCTTCATCAGATTGTTGAAGGTCAGGATTAAGGAAATGAAAATTTTTATAATAATATCTCTACATTTTGTACATACTGGATATAATACATAAAATTTTTGTAGACCCTTATATTTTATTTTAAATATTTTTATTAATACTTTTTAATATTGATATTATTACTTTTGGTAGTATGTACTATTTTCTTATATATTTATAAGTTTATAATAACCTATTTTTCATTTCAATTTCAATATTTGTTTGTGCACTTTGTTTAAATAATTATGAATTCACATAAGTTATTAATAATTTTAATTAATTAATAATTTAATAGTATCATACAGTTATAAATAATTTAATAGTATCTAAGGATTTATTTTAATTTGGCCTTTTTAATATTAGTGAAAAAAGCAATTGTTGATCTAGATAGGCTAAGTACATCAGTGTTTTATTTCAATTATTTCTGCTTTGGATTGAAGTGAATGAATAAATATAACATGAATCCTCCATTTTTTTTATTAATGGATAGTTTATTTTGAACTATCATAAGAACAAATTATTACAAACTATTGAAACAAATTATTGAAAAATTATTTATTATATTTTAGAGATTACGTACCTGTTGATGACCTGTGATTCTGCGTACAAAAAATAAATTGAAGAAGATTTTATGTGATTTCGGAGTCCATGTCGTTCACAAGACAAATAAAAGTTTTACAGTGAAATCGTAATGATGCCGAGCACTGATTAAATAATTTCAATTTGTGCAGAAATAAAAAGATAATTAAAGATAACCGTTGTCGCGGAACCAGAATTATATATGTAAGTAGTTTTTAATGTTCCTTATGTCAGTTAAAAAGTTGGCAGGCATTAGGAAATGATCACATGACCGGAAAAAAAATCTTTATTATATTATGAATTGAAATTAATACCTATCGCATATAATTAGCAGTCTATTGAAATCAATTAAATAAAACCCAAAACCAAAATGATCAACTTCTCGTTTGGTGTTACCACTTATTTTGGTGGTAAAATACCAAGGGTTGTGTTTGAAAAAATATTATTTAGGTAGTAATTGCAAAATTATTTGGTAGTAATTGCAACAATCGTGCAATTATTATAAATATCTATATACATCAACTTACAAAAATATTAAAATTTTTGCTGAGCAGTAGCTCTCATTGCTTGTAATGATAGTATGAACTAAAATACTTGAAAACCATTCGGTCTGGCCTTCTCAGAGTTTGTAATATTTTTTGAAATGATTGAATTTAATTAATTTGTATAATGCAAAAATTTGGCTTCAATGCTGAAAATTTTCTTGGAAAATTGAGTGATCAATTTTACTTTTATTGTTTGCTTATATAGAAAGCTTGCGGCACAAACTAATTTGTTTGAGGATATAAAATATTTTTTTTTTTATTCTCTTTATTGAATTACAATCGGTCTTTACAAAAAGGAAGACATTCAGTAATTTTGATGATATATGAAATATTAAACATTAGATCTAAAAGGTTTTCACTTTTGATATATTAAATTTAAATTTTGTGATTATATAGAGTATAGGATAATATTATTTTTTGCAAATTAATTGATTTTTCACATGAAGGATCATGAGGGTATAGGCTTAATATTTTGATGCTGTGTGTATTTAAGTTTAAGAACGTTAGGATCGAATTTAATGCAAGGCACATTAGTGAATCGGACCCACAAGTTGAAAATGAGTTGTTGAAAAGACCACCGAATGAGTTGATTTACACATTTATTAAGAAAGCTTTATTATTAAGAAAGAAAATAAATACAATTTATATTTTAATTTAAAAAACCAATACTAATATGCAAATATTTATAATAATTCAAAACCGAAACATCAATGTTCTAATTGGGTTTTCAAATTTACAATGCAATGTTGCTATTTTTATAGGATTGTTTTTTCAGACCGTTTGCGTTGGGCAAAATCTTTAGTTTTGCATCCACAAGGTCTCAAGTTCCAACACATTTTTATGTGAAAGCTGATATCATGCAGTAGTGATATCCGTTTTCATTTGAAAATTGCAATTAAAATTAGCTCTTTGACTACTGTGGAAGCTCCTATTATATTACATAATAATATAAAATATCGTAAAAATTTCAATAAATATCTTGACATTCAATATATAGGTTATTTTTTACTTATTTATTTGAACAAAGGTGGACATTTATTTTATGGCTATTGTATCATAAGTTTGAGAATCATTGTGCTGTGTATTTTCATGTTAGGAATATTTGTCCTAAGTTTGAAAATCACTATGTTGTGGTTTTTAAAAATAAAATTTATCGAACTTAGGCCAAGAACTTTTATTTTGACGCAGCTGCCAAATCATCAGCTAATATAAAAATTGTCAATGATTAATTACTGTATAGTAAAACACAGATGCTTTTTGTAGTTAAAAATTGATTTTGGAAATTGCATATAAATATTCAAACAGTTGTAAATAATTGTAATTAATTAGTTATTTCCAATTACTGAGAACTTATATTGAAATTTTAGTTAACCTTAACTTTTTGGGTTTGTTATTTTTAGAATGTATTTTCCATTTCTTAATTACCAAAATGTGTTCACATTCAAATTAGAAACTGAACATAAAATTTTTATATATTTTTTGATTATGACAGGAGGTTATAAAACAGAAACAGAAAGTGTAGGTCATAAATGTTTCGGAAACCTAATATTATAATCTACTGCTTTAAAGCAGGGATGCAATGAAATAGGTCAGAGGTCAGATTGAACACAATTTAAAACTATTAAGAATTATTATTATTTAATAATAGTACTGGGTTATTGTTATATGATAGAAGTATTTTTTCAATATTTTTATTTTTTTGCTTTGTAAATCTATATTATAATATTTACGCATTTTTTATTGACCAAATGTTTCCAACATTAAAAACAAAACGGTAAATAATCATTTTAATCTTGTTTCCTTTAAATATAAATATTTTTTGCTATGGTAGGATAAACATGAAATGCGATATCGTTTTTTTTCTTAAAATTAGATTCATACTATACATTAGATTCATACATATAAATAATTACATGCTTGTAGATTATAATTCTATTTCATTAAATTTACAAGCTTGTAAATAAATAAAATTAATTTGAAATTCATAGATTAATAAAATTTTTAACAATTACCAGATAATTATATATAACAAAAGATGTAATAACAACTATAGTTATTATAATTTCACGTTTATTAAGTATATTAAATAATTAATATCGAAGTATTTGTGTATTTTGTATAGGTATAAACGACTATTTCCATATATAATATGACAAGGGTTTGAGCATTATATTCAGTCAGTTCCACACCAATAAAAAACTATTAAAAACTTTATGTACACTTTGTTTACATTGAAAAATTTGATAATACATTTTTAATATATTCCTTAATATTTTATGAACCCATTACATTGAAAATCTAGTGTATATATAATGAATATTGGAAATCCGATGATATTTTTTTCCTATTTTAAGCATATATATATATATATATATATATATATATATATATATATATTCTTAATTAAAAAGATTATTGCTGATATCTATTATATTTAAACTCTTGGGAGGCTTTGATATCTTCAGCCACATGCGAGAGTTCACTTGGCCAACAGAAATATATTAATTGATAATTGAAGCTTTCTGATAATTAAATATGCCAAAGATATAATATTTTATATTTAGATTCGAAAATTCTAAATAAAAGTCATATTAAACTGTCCATTACCTAAAACTTACCTCCCAAGCCTCCATAATTATAATAGCAGCACTATTATAAAATTATATTTTTAAGCAAAGAGAATACAAGCCGAGTTTGTTATTGAAAATAGTCCATATAAATTTTACAAAAATTGAATAATAAAATTGCTCCTTATTTCAAATATATTTTGTTTGCAATTCATATTAGACTAAATTATATGAAAAATCTTACTAACAGAGCTTTAGATTTTTTTAATACGATATTCAGACTCAAGAATTTTTAATTACTGGAAAAATTCTAAAATTCGATATTGAATTAAAAATATATCACAAATCTGGTAATCACAAAAAATTAATTTCACCTATTTTTATTTACGACGAACCAACGTTAATAAGAATAGAGAACTCCTATAGGAAATATTCAATTCATTCTTAAATGAGTATTGAATTAAACTCATTTATAAATGAGTATTGAATTAAACTCATTCATAAATGAGTATTGAATTAAACTCGTTTATAAATGAGTATTAAATTTTTAGAATTAGTAAAATTGTACTATTAATTAGAAAAAACAGTTCAACTAAAGTTTTCAAAGTTATATATATATATATATCATATAAATATATACAGAATTTATAAAATCTATTTGTGAATTTTTATAGTAAAGAATAGAGAAATGTGAAATGACTTAGCGGATTGTAATTTTTTTCTTTATTTTAACAGAGATATATTATCAATTGATCAATGATGATTATAGTTTATTTAGATTGCGCGTAATTCAATGACCATATCCATTTAAAGTCATTCTTCTAGAAATATGAACACCGAATAGTTTAAAATCACAATCCAGGAAGAATTATCTCGATCACCATATTATATTATTTCTAAATATCGCGTCCTCGAATGAGTATCTCAAAAATTGATTTCCTTGACATCACTGTTTTCGGGTTAAAAGCGCACGTGCTTGGGTCACCGATATAAAAACTAGCTAAATATTTAATTGTCATAAACGACACACAACACTTTTATATTTTTTCCATAAAATATCTATATATAGAAACAGATAATGAACTACGTCTTTTGAACATAAATTAGTCCTTTTTAAGCGCGGATGAAAAGGCGGTAAAAATAATGCAAACCGGAGTTCTTCTTTCGCTTTGCCTAAAAATACATTTTTATGATATTGCAATTAAATATATTTGAGACTGAAAATGAATTCAGATAATGAGTAGTTGAATATAATTTTCAGATATAATTCTTATATATTTTCAAAATATTTTTATACTTTCCGAAGGAGTTGATGCTTGATGTTCCTGAATTTGCTTTTTTGCTCTAGCCATGAGTTGTAGGATTTTTAAATTGATTCTAATTTTGAATATCATTTGCGCACTGAAATACTTTCTTCAATATTTTTGATAATATACAGTATGCAGTTTCATATTAAAAATCTGAAAGAAACGGATTTAATTTGGAACTGAGCAAATGCTGTTTGAGTAAATGGTAGTAATTAGTGGTGTTCACTTAATTTTCATACGTCGATTGTGATTTTATTATGATAATTTCATTTTAACAATCTTTATATGAAAAACTTCTGCAGTATTTATAATTGAAAATAAATTATGTATTTTATGATTAACCTTGCATTAAATATTGTATTCACCTAATGCTAAATACGCCAACTACTTTTTTCATAAACAATTTTTACTTTTATTGTTACACATTTTCTTACATTTATATACTTTACTTAATTGCAAATTCAGTATTGTAATAAAAAATGTTATGAAAATTTTTATATTGTAACAAGTATTATCAAATTAAGCTTGATGTAACTCATCTTATTTTTAAAATAAGAAACAAAAATATTTTTGTATGTTTTCTACTTCTGTATATTTCCGTACATATTCGGAATTCCGTGTTTGATACGTGCAATACATTTCTTACAAATATGGCTTGGAAGATTGTAAGTTAACAAAAATATCAATTTTATAGTTTATCATAATTGTTTTCATTTTTCATATATTTGTGGGCTAGAACCAACTAGTCCGGATTCGCTGGTTCGACTCCCGCTACCGCCAAGCCTGACATCAGGCAACTTTGATGTCAAATTTCCACTTTCATCTATAACCTATAGATCTCAAATATAGCCTCAAGTGAAAATTGCCTCTCGTGGGTATAGTTGCATATATAATAAAAATGTCAGCAAATACTTCGAGTATAGATAATTACTGGACAACTACTGGGTTGCCATCCATTCAAGATTTATATAATAATAGTCAAAACAATTACTGAATGTCCTAAGTGTGACAGATTGTAATTAAAATTATAAAAATAATTATATAATTTCTATAACACGTAGAAAAAATTATTAAAGAAATTTTATATTTTGTTAAATATTAGGTTAGTGTTTTAATTGTCTAAGCAGTTATTACAATGTTTAAGACACGATTTTTGGCAAAATTTGCTATAAATTCGACATTCAAAGGGCTAAAATAATTTCATTGTGAATCTATTTCAGAACGCAAAATCTTCAGTCTTTTAAGCAAATACTTGACAAAAAACAAATAACTTTCGGCTACTTCATTATAATGCATCTGCTCCTGGTATTATTTACTCAAACAGCATTTGCTGCATTGTTGAGCATCAGTAAAATGTTTGTAAATTTTAAAATATTGAAAATCTCTAAAAAAAAATAATGGTATGGAAAAAATTCATATGAATAATTATTTCTTTTCTAGTATTGTATTCTTTTGATTTAGAATAGCAATGTATTTTTTACAATTTTACATATTATTACATCCGCTTCGACATTTTTTATCATATTTCATTGTGATCTAGGAAGCTCAATTATCGAGTAAGAACATGATAATTTAAATATAGCAAATTTAGCTGGTTATAAAAATATGAACTTATTAAATTTGTTATAAAAAAACAACAAGAAAAGAAGACGATGATATATGTATTTCTAGTGATTAACTATTAAATTAGAATTAAATTCAATCTGTAGATAGTCTTCTGGTAGACATTCCTAGTAATTGATTTGAATTACTAATTCATTTTCAATTAATTGAAAATATCATTTTATAAAATACAAACTATGACTAAAATATGCCTGAGTGTAAGTTCGTGCTATCTATTAACAATTGTTAAATGATTCCTGTACAAGTGAATATTGAAGCATTTAAAGGATTAAATTTATATCAGACCTTAATGCTCTAAGCTGTCTGCATGTAAAATTCGTCGAAATATGTATTTACATGTAAACCATTTGCTACCAAATATTTAAGCGCGTCGGTACTTTTAATCTTCCAGCATATTAGCTTCAAATCACTCAGAAAAACCGACTCGTGTTCCTTTCAATAGGAACATGAAACCCCGTTAATAGTCCGAAAGTCCTAAGCAAATATAACTTTGTTTTTCGATAATCTTGTGCGTGTGGCATCGTGAGGCCACAAGATGTACGAAATTCCTTTTCTGTTTCAAAATAAATAGGAAAGGATTTAACACGCTGTTGAGAATTAGTGAGCGGTTTATTTCAGACTAAAACAGTCGGTGACTTGTAAAACAATACTGTAAGTTATGTTGCCACCCGCATTATTCCTGGTAAAATCACTTGTCCTGGTAACCAAGCTTATTTTAAGTTGTGAATTTGTTTTAATTATACCTAGATTTATCAGTAATTATTTTCTATTACATAAGTTATTGATATTTTTTCAATTAAATAATTAATATTCATTACTTCTATGAAGAAATTACAAATTCTGATAACAATTTTGTTTCTATTCATGCTCGTTGCTTATAATGCCATTTTTTTAAACCGAATGATACGAGTAAAATATTTTTTATTTATTGGTATTTACAACTAATTAAATTCTGGAACATAAATTTGGAGTTCCGAAATATTGAAGTGATAAATAATTGTCGATCTATTTTAGTAATACTCAAAATAAGAATTGAGTTTCGTGCTTAATTTAGGATTTCGTTTCATAATAAAATGAAAAATTTTTAATAATTTTTTATAATATTAATGAAATAAGTAATAATTAATTCTATTTCAAGTTGTTTTTTTTCTAATTTTAGTAAATAGTTTAGTTCATCAATACCAAAGGTTTAATCATGTGTTGAAACGGGATAAGAACTTCTGTAAATCGTTTATTGATTGCTTATTTTGCAGCCTCTTTTATAAATAATACTTTATCCATACTTTTTAAGAAAATCAAAACAATGGTTTAAATGTTATTGAACAACAGATTTAATCTATTTTATCTCAATATTTAAGAAATCGATTAAAAAATTATATACTTGTTTAAGTTAAGATCTGACTAAAGCAAATTATCTGATTTTTTGTTAGTATAATAATTCTCCTTTAGGTGATTTCGCAGCATTCAGCAGCATTTCGTTGAATTATAAGCTTTCATAAGTTTGGGGGAATATTATCGTTTAACTATTTAAACACTACTATTATTTGTATATGTTTGTTTGTAGTTTATTTCGTGATATTAAAAATAACGTCATATAATTTTGCAGAATATGTTCAAGTGTATGTTTTGCCAACAGTTTTATTGCTTTTTACATAATTTATCATGATCTTGCTTTTTCATATCATAGGATTGTAGAGTTGATTTAAAAGTTTCATAAGGACATTTGTCATCGCATGATGGAAGTTTCATAGGTCTCAGTTCCATTTTGTCATTGTTTCTATAGAGAACCTAAAATTTCAATTTGCAAAAAATTAATTTACATAATCTAGTATTGTTGCAATTATGCAATCGCTGAAATAAAAGCTACAACGAAATTGCAGTTATATAAAGTATTTTTTTTAAATAGTTCGAACTCACTTTCACACTCCATTGGTTGTTATCCTTGTGCAGTTCAATAACGTGGAGTGCTCCTTGGCCAGGATATAAACTAGACGGACCAAGGTCCTGATTTTCAATTTTTGTACCTTTGGGAGCAAAAGCTGAAACAAATGCTGCTAAGATAGCTTGAGGAACGGTCAGCACTGATAATTTATTTCCTGTTTTTCCAGGAGCACCCGGTTGTCCCTTTCCTTCTTTTATACTATCGATATCGTTCAATATATCGTTAATCATACGGCCTATATAATAAAAATCAAAATATGAATATAATGTAGATTAGTAATATAGAAATAAGTTCCAAATGTTAAGGATCGAAGATATAAAAATTATCAATAAAACAATTAATAGATGATGATTTCCACTATCACATACAGCAATTTTAAAATAATGTAAAATATTTTATCCGTGTAGGTCAAAAATTATAATTTTAGGACATTGGAAAAATAATATTGTCGATTCATTTAACTATATTTGAGACTTTGACTCGTAGAATTTTCATAATTAATGACTAATTTCATAATATTTATACTTTTTTAATAAAATATTTGCAATATCAGAAAGAAATATTTAAATATTTTCTAACTTTAAAAATGCTGAAAGTCTAAAATTTTGAGTGATTATTCTATCTTTGACTATTTCTTTGATTCATGATATATTTACCTCCTGACATCTTTCTAAGATTCTCATTAGAAGTTAGAGCCCTCCATAAATATTCTTCGGAAAAACTTTTCAGCTCGTTTTTCATACTTTCAAACCATTCTGGAGCTTGATTGAGCTATGCAATAATTAAATTAGTGAAATTTTTTGTTATTTTGAACTCAGAAATGTCATCTTCTAAAATACTATTTTATTTTAAAGTTGTCGAATTTATACCTTGCTTTGTAAATTTAAAGTTTCATATGCCAGCCAAACATTCTGAGGACCTTTCGTTGCATCTATTTTATACGCTTCTTTTTTTAATTTTGCAAATAAATTTTTATAATTTGTTGCACCCTTTGTTAACAAGTCTTTTACTGCCATTTTCTGTTGTTCTATGAAGTTTGGACAAGATCTTGGACTATAGAATTTAGCATACTGTAACCAAATCGCATTACTTTTATACTGTAATCAGTCATACGAGAATAAATATTTTATATAAATGTTACTTACTTCACCAAATAAAGAAAATACGGTTTTCTCTCCTTTGTCTTGTGTCCATTCTGCCTCTTTCTAAATTATTTAATGAAAATAATAACAATATTTTCATACTGAATATAGAGAAAGTTTTTAATTTTTTGCAGTTTTGTTTGAAAGCTTAAACTATATATTCATCATTACTTGTTATACAACTATTATATCATAAATTTATCGAATATTATTCAATGATGATAGTTGGTTATTTATAATTCAGTCCTTAATAATCGAGCCGTTTCTACCTTCTGACAAACTCATAATTAAAATTTATGAGTATTTACAGTAATGAAGTGTTAATTTATTACAACAACTTTCTACAAATAATTTAATAATTTCACACTTTTTTTAATTTTAATTTATTAAAATATTAAAAATTCATTTTTTGAACATATGGTTTTATGAAAGAAAAGCAAATATTTTTTATTCAAAACTAGGTTTTCTATTATACGCTGCCTGTTTAATTTTAAATTTATCACTTTTACGCTTGGAATTAGTATTATATTCCATGTGACATTTTCCAAAACATCGATAATTATTACGTATTTCAAATTTTTGGATTACCTTTCCTTCTAGACCAGAACCAATAATAAGTGCTCCTTCTTGGGATCTTCTTGTAGTACTAGCTAATGTCCAATAATTTTTACTTGAATCCCATTCAGTAATTTTCAAATTTTGTTTGTAATGTTTAGATAATAATTTGCCAATTTCTGATGCCTCATTTTTACCTGCCTAAAATATTTATTTATTGATAGTAATTATTTAATTATCTAAATAATATATTACTTACCGTTGTCAACACGCTTGAAGTCTCAGGCTGGCCTGTAATATTTGGACCGCCTGGATAATCACAAGGTGTATGTGACATACCTCTTGCAGTCTATTGAATATTATATTAGCATTTTAAATTGATTCATAAAGTAGGTAACAATTATTAATTTTTAATAAATATTTGGCCATATTTACCGCAAACACAAATTTCAATTCTGCATTCACATTTTCAATTAAAATTGCACTTGAAACAACCAGCAATAAACGCCACATTTTAAATTGTAAAACAATTTGATATTAGAATAGAAATTCTTGTTTTATATAAACTTTGCATTCGTTTATATAGTTTTTTATTGTTGTTGTGAATAGTTTATTTATAACAACATATTTACAATAACAAACAAGATTGCTGAAATTTTAATTGCTTAAAAATTTGGAAATATTGCAGAAACTTGCTACCAAAAATATGTAGTTCTAATTTCAAAATTTTGGTCAAAATTATTTTTTGATAAATAACTTGTTATGTTTTTTTGTTCCTATTTCTTAACATTTTACGGTTATTTTACAAAACCCAGCAGTAATAAATAGATAAAAATAACATTAATTATTTTGAACTTTATTCTTCTTATCTGAAACAAAAATTAACTTTTATAAATATATTATGTATCTTATAATCTCTTGCAAATATTACGATTAGTATTTTCATAGTTAATTTTTAAATTTAATTTATTAATGATGAAATATTTTTTTTTTGTATTAAAATATTTAATATTAATAAAGTTTTATTAGGTAGTTTATTCATATTATTTTCAATTAATAGAAATGAATTTTTTACAAGATCATGCAGTTTTATTATTATTGCTAAAATTTGATATTAATTATATTAGGCCATCTAAGTTATTTAACTGTATTAAACAAAACAAATCTTGAAAAATATTATTTAAAAAATTGATTTTTAGAAAACTTTTTGGGTTATTTCTTACACAAAATATTCTTTTAATTAAAAAATTTTTAATTCTTAACGAAAATTTTTAATTTCATTGACAAGAGTTAACAATTCTGTATTTATTCTGTTAAAATAATATTTATTAAAAGATTTAATTAAAACCTATCACTGAATTGATCATATTTATGATCACGTGCATTCGAAAACATGGAGTAACGAAAATGATACATGTTTTGCAATGACAAAAATTTATATCAAACTTGTAATTTAATACTTCTTGCTACCAAAAATATGTAGTTTTAATTTCAAAATTTTGGTCAAAATTATTTTTTGATAAATAACTTGTTATGTTTTTTTGTTCCTATTTCTTAACATTTACAAAACCCAGCAGTAATAAATAGATAAAAATAACATTAATTATTTTGAACTTTATTCTTCTTATCTGAAACAAAAATTAACTTTTATAAATATATTATGTATCTTATAATCTTTTGCAAATATTACGATTAGTATTTTCATAGTTAATTTTTAAATTTAATTTATTAATGATGAAATATTTTCTTTTTGTATTAAAATATTTAATATTAATAAAATTTTATTAGGTAGTTTATTCATATTATTTTCAATTAATAGAAATGATTTTTTTACAAGATCATGCAGTTTTATTATTATTGCTAAAATTTGATATTATTTATATTAGGCCATCTAAGTTATTTAACTATATTAAACAAAACAAATCTTGAAAAATATTATTTAAAAAATTGATTTTTAGAAAACTTTTTGGGTTATTTCTTACACAAAATATTCTTTTAATTAAAAAATTTTTAATTCTTAACGAAAATTTTTAATTTCATTGACAAAAGTTAACAATTCTGTATTTATTCTGTAATATTTATTAAAAGATTTAATTAAAACCTATCACTGAATTGATCATATTTATGATCACGTGCATTCGAAAACATGGATTAACGAAAATGATACATGTTTTGCAATGACAAAAATTTATATCAAACCTGTAATTTAATACTCCTTATTATGCACGCAATCCTTTCAACAAAGTCAACAAATTATGTATTACCAATACACAATTTCATCAAATACCAATTGCTATTTGAAAAAAAAATATATTCAGAGACATGCATATTTCTTTATTCTATTCACCCTTAGGCAAAATGCTTAAATAACTTTGTCATTGCTCGAAATGTATTAACCAAACGATGTTCGATTTCCAGACTCTGCAATTTTGTAAATGATATATTTGAGTGTTTTGCAGACTGTTCAAATAATAATTACCAGTGAATTCTTTTTATGATTTTTTAAATCAGACGTACAATCTAATATTTTGAAAATTGAAAAATGCAGCGATGGTTTTATACATTTAAAAGTGATAAAGTAGATTTTTTATTTCGAAACTTTAGTATATTTCTTTAGTTTTTATTCATGATATATATTATAGAACAAGAATAAAGAATAGCATTTGATAAACAAATAAAATATTTAATGTATTAAGTATAAATATTTTTGTGACAAATAATAACTTTAACAATAGTTAACTTCATAAACTTAATCATACTAGAGAAAAAACTCTAGCGAGAAAAAACGCCGGCTCAAAATTTATTTTTAATCTGTGGTTTCTTCTGCAAAATTTTGCGAAAAAAAACACAAAACGAGATCGTTTGGTCCTTACGATTATATAGACTATCATGCACTTACATTAGAAGAGTTGGAAAATTGGCAGAAAAGTTTAAGAAGTGCCTAAATATTAGGGCATTAGCTCTAGTTGGAGCAGAAAGATACTGGAGAATATCAAAGAAGATCACATTGATCATCAAGGATGATTGATAAAAAAAAATCTACAAGTGACGCAAATAAAACTCACTATCGATCAATAGTTTGAAAAAAAAGTTTCTTGAAATGAACCACAGTACGAGATGATGTGGTCCACATGATTAGTTAGACTAAGTTATACTACCATACACTTATATAAGAGCAGTATGAAAATTGATAGTAAAGTCTGAAAAGTGCCTGAATATTAGGTCATATGATGAATTGGAACAGCCAGTACACTGGATCGATGCTAATAGTCTGGAAAATGGTAAAAACACTGGAGAATCATAAAAATAATTATATTAATTGACAAGGTAGCTAATAAAAGAGTTTTGCAAGTTGCAGAGGAAAAAACTTTTTGATCACAAACTTTAAAAAAAAAAAAAAGTGATTTTTACGTTATCAAATATGAAATATATCAACTAAAAGGACTTGGACGGGTAAATATTTTGGTTTTGCTTGGTCTTTAGAACTATAAAAGCAAAAATTTGAATTGGTAGTGGTAGGTTGCGAAAATAGCAGTAATAATAATAGTGTTTGCGCAATAATAATAATAATAGTATAGGTTGTAAATGAAAAATAAAAATATTTGTTTTTACTAAAATCAGAATTATGACATCTTATTGACAAATTAGCAAGTTTGCCCAATTCATAATTCAATACATCTAAATAGAAACCTATGCAATAAAATATGCGTTTATGAAGGCCAAACACAACGCATATGCAATTATGTCTGCTTGTATCATTCAAGAATTGAAATAATCAAATTTCACTTCGTTAGATTCCAGTTATAATTGCGTTTCATTTCGCGACCACACTAAATATTCTTCAAGTATATAGGACAATTTTGCAACATTCAGTAGTAAGAGTGCCAATTATCCTTTGCCCACTTTCCTTCTCCCGCGGACATCTTAATTTTTGTGGCATTTGACATTTAGTCGGTCTTGCAACACCTTTCAAAAAACATTAAGCCCCGTGGAGTTATTTTTCTTGAAACGAAATCGGCTACCGATTAAAATGCGAGTAAAAACACAGATGATTCACGAATATTGCTCCGAGCTATGAAATGCATGCTCGCCCGTGTTATTACGCAGAGCACAGCCGTAAAGATTTATTTTGGACTGTCATGCCAGGGATTTTGATACTTTTTAATTTTCTTATTCATATTGAGATATTTATTTTTTACTGCGTCTTTGTTTCTCTTATAATACTTGTAATAAGTGTTTCCAAGACCTTACTCGAAGACCCTTGAAAAATTTCTTAGCCTGTTGATGCTATCAAGTCAAAAATAGAATTATTAATAATGTAATTATTATTATTGTAGATAATATTAACTTAATTAATAAAATAAAAAATAATTATAAGCTAGTGGGGTGTATGGCATCGTGTCTTAAGGCAAATTGCTGGAACTTCCCATACCGTAACAAAATGTTCGAAGAATACTGAATGTTTTCAAATAGATTATTATTAATATTGTAACATTGTCTAATATTTATAAGAATTATATAAACTAAATTGCAAAGTTGAAATTATTTGTTTAAAGTATATTAGAACTATAGTCAGCATTAAAATAAAATCTGAATTATTTCCGATATGCAAAAAAAATTTTTTTGAAAAAACTAATAAACACTTATCCCAATCAATACTAATTAAATGTTTTTTACATCATTCAAATCGGATACTCCGTTCTCTCAAAAACTCGATTTTTATTTTCTGCACTCTTTGCTCCGTATCTCCGTAACGGCTGGACCTGCCTTTGCCAAAAACTAATAAGCTCTTCTCCCTATTAATATGAACCGAATGTTTTTTGAACCATTCAAATCGGTTGATCCATGAGCCCGAAAACGTGACTGGAAATTTGTATCCATGCATACATACACACACACACACACATCCATTTTTTCTGAATTAATTAATTAAACTAGTATTAAATAATATTTAATATTAATTTGATTGTCTATAATTACCATAAATTTTACTCTAGTCTGCGCAGAGAAGTTTAGCTGAAACTTGAATTCTCAATCAATCAGTAACTAAATTATGAACTTTACTGTGGATCTTTGAAAATTATGAACAATATCGACTTATGTTTAATTTTATTATACACTATTCTACAAAAACAATTCTTTGGCTAACTTTTGTAAGTAAATTCCGTGAAAATTTTTTTTTTTTTAATACAAATCACGAATTATTGTGGTCCCCTGGCTAAATTATAGTAAAATTTCGAAAAAATAAAACATGAAAACTTACTAAAATTTTTAAAAGTAACACCTTATGATCAGTTTGAATCGACCGATTTGAATTGTTAAAAAAATATTCGATTCCTAATGTTGGGGAGACGTGCTGATTAGTTTTTGGCTAAGGCAGCCCCAATCATTTGGAAGATATGGAGCAAAAAATGCCAAACATGGTAACTCAATTTGTGAGAAAATTCAAAAAACATTTTATTTCTATTGACATAATTAAGAACAGGATTAAATTTTAGGAAGACAGGTTTAGCGATTTTGGAGATCTAAT